AAGTAGCGTAATTTGTGTCCAGTGCATGCGTCTAGAATACCAACGAAAAGCAGACAGTGGGAGTTGCATAGGTCCATTTAATGAATTACTAAGATTGTTAAGACTGTAGTGTCCGTTAGTAGAACATGAACTCTGTTTTAGGCGATGTGATAAGAGTGGTTGCTCTAGTCTTGTTAACCAGCCGCTCCAACCGACTGCCGTCGAATTTGGTATACAGCACAGTCACACTGGCATCTACTTCTGGCTCCATCGTGTTGATGAGTTCAGGATAGAACAACGGGTTTGTGGGGGGGTCATAGAACACTATGTTGTGCATGCCACGGATACGGTATCTCCGGTAGAAATAGAACCGTTCAGTGGTCAGCATAAACTGCCGCCTGCCGTGGTAGAAGAGTGTCCTGGACCGTGAGATGTCCTTGTTGGCGGTGTATCTGTTGCGGGAGAGAGTGGGGTGCACGGTTTAGACCTCCATTGCACGTACACTGGCCCGACAAATAAACTTGGTTAACACTAAAAACCCGACGAATAAACTTTGTTCACACTAAAACCCCGACGAAGGAAGCCGCAGATAGGCAGGTATATAAGACAAGAAGACCCCCAAACAACGCAAATCGTATCAATCCTACACACAATGCCGCACTTACTCTGACATCTGCACGGAGGAGATGCGTTCGCGTTTGAAGTGATTTCTTAAGCGCACGAAATCAAAGTACGATGACACGTACAGTGTTGTTCGCCCGCGCAGAGAGTCACGCAGCGCTGGCAGCACCTGGGATAGTGGGTGAAGGTGCATTGCAGGACACATGAGCGAATACATCAGAAAGGAGTTTCAGGGTTTATAGTGTTTAGGGTTTTAGGGTTTATATAGTGCTTAGGGTTTTAGGGTTTGATAAGATTCAAGTAGAAACAAGGAATGTCGGGTTGGAAAGTAGAAGTGCTCAGCAGACACTCAACCCTATCACTATGTCTCGTGATCACTGGCGGAGAGACCATTCATGGCTCACAGTCAGCGTAAACAAAGACTGACTTACTATTATATATGGACAATCTACTATCATATATGGACAACTTACTATAGTATATGGACAATCTACTTTTATATGGACAACTTACTTTTATATGGACAACTTACTATTATATATGGACAACTTACTATTAGATATGGACAACTTACTATTATATCTGGACAACTTTCTACTATATATGGACAACCTACTATTATATATGGACAACTTACTATTATATATGGAAAACTTACTATTATATAA